TTTAGATCTAACCAATAATTAACCTCTTTTCTTTATTGGAAACAGTGATGTATTCTACTAAGTGTGCATGTGATACTACCTGGGATGGGAATTATATCATTCCCCTGATGAAGAAGCCATGCGAGAGCTAACTGAGCAGGAGTGCATGCATGTTTAGAAGCCAAGTCAGAAAGTCGCTTGTAATAGAGCTTGTTCTTTTCCAAATTTTCTCCACTGAACCTTGGATGAATTGCCTATTACAAAGAAGAAAAAAATGCCACATCTCAAAAGCCAACCCCCTGGAGGAATCCACGTATATAACTATAGTTATTCTTATAGGCATTTCCCACTTGTGGTATTGTCTTACAAGTGAAAATTCATGCAAATTTAAAACTGGGAGTGTACCAGTAAACTTTGACTAGGTAAACTTTCCTCCACTGCTTTCCCTGCAAAAAAGCCTCTACCAAGAGGGCTATATGCCACTATTCCAATTCCTAGTTCTCTGCAAGTTAAAAAAATTCAAGATAACTAAAGATTTGACTAGATGATATAATATTTCTGTAGCCTCTCTTATTTTAACTTTTCATAAGTATTAACTTGGCCTTTTGATGATTGGTGCTGGAATAGCCTAAGATTCCTCAATTTCTAGATCCATTTAGTCTTAGCCTAAAATAACAGAAGAGTGAAAGAGTTAGTCTCTGAAAAAAACAACTCATTCCATGTTAGTCCTTCTGGGATCCCTAGAATTAATAACTCGTGTTAGTCATTTCATGTTGAAAAAAGGCTCACAGAATTATGAATTTGTGATCTTAAATGACTGAGTTGTGCAATTATTAAGATAAAGGACCTAAAACTAAATAGCCATAACAGTCAACAGATCAGTTTATTAGTTTAACCATTTATGCCACACTGAATAAGGCTATTGGGAGGAGCATTCAAGGAGTTAAAGTGCATATAGAGTTAGCTCGACTAATGATTATCTTAATAGAAGGGAGGTCCCATATAAGCGAAAGTCGAATCTGGTATTCGTTACTGCCAAATCAATTTGAGCATTGTCATGTCCAAATAGGGGGCAACTCTTCCAATGTGATTTTTTCAATCCACAAGATTAGAACCCTGAACCTTGCTCAAGAGGTGTTGAGTTCCTTACCAGTTACCAGTCAGCCTATCCATTAGTACGATGTATGTTTATAAAACTTCGAAGGAGGTTAATGCAATTTACCGTAACTAGTTTCATTCAGATATTTGTAACTTCAAACAGTACCTATGAGAGTCAGATAAGAAACCAAGTAAGATAAAAGTAATAAATCTAAATTCTAAAAACCTGCAAAGTGGAATTATCTCGTCTTCAATGTCACGGGACCACAAAGAATACTCCATTTGTAAAGCAGTGATAGGATGAACAGCATGTGCTCTCCTTATAGTATCAGCATTAGCCTCTGACAACCCAATATATCTAATCTTTCCTTCATTTACCAGCTTTTTAAGCTCCCCTACCTTCCTTGTTCAGATCAGTGTACCACACAAACACCCACAGCTTAGAAATAGTGAAAAGGTTATGTATTACGCATAACAGAAGAAATGCATCTAAGACTCACAGTGTCCTCAATTGGCACAGAAGTGTCAATTCGATGCTGATAGTATAAATCAATATAACTGACATCAAGTCGCTTAAGACTAGCTTCACAGCACTCCCTTACATACTCAGGGGTACCTTTTACACTGAATTGCATCCCATCAGACATAATAATACCAAATTTAGTGGCCAATTGGACTTTTTCTCGAGGGAGTTCTTTTAAAGCCTGTTATATGATGAAAAAGCATCAGTAGTAGGACAAGAGAAATTTGCATTGACATCAGTGTAAATCATTCTCAGATATAACTGAAATTACATTCAAAGCTAGTTTTCGATTTCTATGCCACTTCTAAAATTATATTATGCACTGTAATCTTCCTTCCTATGTTGTTCTTGTGGTCATCAATGTTCCCAAGCTGTTCGCAAAATTAAATATTTTCTTTGGAGAGTCATATGGGCACATTCTCTCGTATCAATTCAGTGCATTTAAGATTGAAAACATGTAAAGAATAGTTAGGCAGAATGTGCAATACCTTGCCAACCATGATTTCGTTATCATGTCGATCTCCATAAAGATCAGATGTATCAAAAAAGGTTATACCCCTGTTGAATACTTCCTTGATAACAGAACATCCAGCTTCATGTGAGAGAGGGGCATTGTAAATTCCTGATAGTCCCCCACACCCAAAACCCAGCCTGGAGACCTGCATTTCATTACATGATACAAAAAAGAAGCACTTGATTTGTTATTGACTTTTTACAAGAGGTCATATAGCAGAAGACTAAGCCCCTTTTGGTTCCCATGTTTGGAACTGTTGGAGACGGACTTTTGCAACTTTCGAGCAAAATTACTCTCACATTACTTTGGTCAACCAAGACCAACGCAAACTTAAAGGGAGAGAGATTCCCTTTCTATTTAGACGAAGCAATGTGATAATATTGCCTTTGAATTTTACCATATAGTGGAGTTAACCAGTTAGCGATTTTTTTTTTTTTTTTTCCGGTGATCAAAAGGGTGGTTGATTAATGAACTTACTGGTCAGGTAACTTTATGATTATAGGTGTATTATCTTGCACTGTCATAGCTGTAATGCCATATGGTGTTCTGAGTGTTCTGAGAGGATTATATGACAAGAGAAACTTCACTAAAATTACAAAAACTCTGACAGAACTTACGGTTAGTCTATCTACTTGCGCAAGTGTTTTTGGATTTATATTTGTTTCCTCTACATAAACCTCTTTTGAGTTGAGATTACTTGTGGCAAGATCATATTCAGAATCTTTGGATAAGATAGAATTCTCTGTAATTGCTTGACATTATCAGACTCTGATGACCTCAATGCTACTGAAACAGAACTATTTCCTCTTATTAAACTGAAGCGAATAAGAAAAGAAAAGATGTGCGAAGCAATAAACCGATTCGACCAAAACAACAACACAATATGGACGATCGTGGATAAAGATAACAGAAGGGAACTTACCTCTAAGCCTTGACTACCTAGTTTCACTCGTGGGACTTGCACTCGAGTCTCGTCCATTTCCTATGCTTCAAAGCTGAGAAGAAGAAGAAGAAGAAGCTCCAACGAGTCAATGAGGCATGGAAAGGAAAAGGGTCATAGAATATGCCCAAAACTGAGACGCTGAGCTCTCATTTTCGTCCACCAACTTCCAACAGCATTTCCATTCGAGCATTCACATGAACTGTAACAAAATAGCCTCTCTTTTTTTAAACCAGCGCAAGAAAATAATTTGAGCCGGACATGTGGCGCTGCGCTGTCTCGATGATAAAATAATTCGATCCTAAAGTCAATTGTATTATTCAATCCAAATTTCACCTTAAATAATTTAAATTCCAATCATTCCATGGGATCCACACCCCACCAACTTTAGTGGCACGTGGGTTCAGGAATGGGTAAGCTACTTAAGACATGATATTAAAACCCAATTGGATTTAGCCGGTTTCACTAGTCCAATTAAAATTTTTGGACAAGTCAACCGAATTGAATTTTATTTTATTTTTTTATTATAATTTTTTCAATTAATAATATTTTGTCAAATTTGTGCTTGAATGATGATGTTTTAATAGGTTATGTGTGATTTATGCATAAATATTTTATTTGCTTATGAATTAATGGATTTTAATTTAAAAATTATTTAAGGGGATGGAATAAAAATATAGAAAAAAAATTAAAAAAAGAGTTATCCAAAATAAAATAAAAATGATGCAAATAAAGTCTAAATAAAATAAGTATACGGTTTTGACTAAAAGTGAAAAAAATTTACCAAGGAATTGCCAAAAAAAGAAGAATTCTTTTCAAGGTTATATTTCAATATTTCATATATATTAAATAAATTATTTTATTTAATTAAGACCAGTTTGACTGCAAGTTAACTCTGATTGAACTACTCATCCTTAAACTACTATCTCAAATTCATTGGAGGATTTAGACTTTGTCTATTTGAGGAAAAAGAATAACAGTTAAGTTCTAAAACTTTAATTTAATTGTAACAATCAAGTTCTTGAATAAATTATAAATATGGAAATTTTAGTTGTAAATTATGAGGCTCAATTAACATTAATTTATAATATGTAGCTAAAACTCTCATATTTGCAAAGTGTTTGAATCGATGTTTTTAACTTATTTCATAATAAAATTTTTAAAAATATAATTGTCATATTGATTAAAAGTCGAGACCTAGCTAATCGTTGTTGGTTCTTATTACAAGGGCAGTAGTTGATATCTTTAAATTAGTAGAAAAACGTGTCCTTTTAATTTTATCCTTTGGTAAAATTAATTATTACAATAAAATATTTTTTAGGAATTAAAAGCATGCCAACAATTTGTTCCAAATTAATAAGTGCAACATAAGAAAAATTTGTTAACTATCACATCTTTGCCCCATAGTTAGGATTAAGTAACACTTTAAAACTTTTTCTCTATAACTAAGACGGTGGGAAGTATAATTTAAAATTTATTAGCTTTTCTTTTGTTTTAAGCTAGATTTTATTTTTAAAATATAATAGATAAAATGAATTAAAATTTTATATTTATGATCAAAATCAACCCTCAAACAAGTTCTTATATTTGCAGTAATAGCTATACTCACATTAGTCTCGTCATTAGTTGGAACAACTTGGATAACAAATGCCAAATGAAACAATAGTGGAGAACAATGCCCAATGTGCTATGAGATTTAATTCGTTAGAACAAAAGCTTTTAATTTATAATTTTTAAATGATAAATTGACGATTAGAACATTATTTTATATTTCACATCTATTAAAATAACATGCTATTAAACAAAAGTGAAGTATAATAGCATATCATTCCAATTTTAACGTGATTTGTCTAGCTAACTTGGGCATTCTAGATTTATGGAATGTATTCCTTGTGCTGCCTTTATTTTTATTTTATTTTTTGGTGAAAAAGCAGGGGCCCAGCCCATTACATTACACGACCATTACAAACAGAAAGCACTCTTCTGGGAAACTTAGTTCCAGCTAACTCTTCCTCGAGTATACTCCGTACTTCAGGCGGTGGAGTGTCCCAGATGATTCTTGGTGATTCAATCTGTAGACTAAGGTGAGCAAGCTTGTCCGCTACTCGATTTCCTTCTCTAAAGACATGATTGATTTTGATTTGCCAATCCCCTTGCATCATCTCATGAATTTCCTGGAAAATATGAATATATCGGCATCGCTCTTTGTTCTGCACTAACAGGTCCACCACTTGCTTCGCATCACTTTCCACTTCAATTTTCTCGAATCCCATGTCTCTGCATAGTTTCAGTCCTACCAAGACACCCCACGCCTCGGCCTCCATCACCCCACATCTTTCTAGTTGCACCGAGAAGCCCTTTAGCCATTCTCCACCATCTCCCCTTATTGCTCCACCGCATCCTACTTTTCCTTCCTCCGTGCACATTCCGTCCGTGTTCAGTTTACACCATCCTAGCTAAGGGGGTTTCCAAGAAATTCGTTCCTTTCTCATAACAATTTCCTCCATGGTTTCCTTTTCCCATCTGTGGTGATAATTAGCCAAATAGTTATAGATCTCCTTTTCCAGCTCACGCGGTAAGTTGAAGTCTTATTCGTGTAATTGTAGGTTTCGCCATCTCCATATAATACAGCAGCATGTTGCAAATTTCTCCGCCCAGCTGATGCCCTCTTCTTTTATGCTTTTGCCGCTAAGATTCCTTTGTATCCAATCATGCCATTCATCTCCCAGGAACTCCACCCTTTTGCCGAAAGGCAATAATCTTCTCCATGTGACTGTGGCATACGGACAGTCCCTCAATGCATGGAGCAGAGTTTCCATTTTCTGTTGACATAAGTCACAGAGCTGATTTCCTCCATTCCACTTACTTGTGATCTCCTTAGTGGCTAGCCTCCTATGAATCATCCTCCATATAAATATTCTAATTCTTTCGGGCACTCTGAGTTTCCAAATCTGTTTCCAGTTCCTTTGATCCGTAATATCAATGTCACTCCTTATTACCCCATAAGCACTGAGTGCTGCCTTTATTTTTGGCCAAGACTTGTGCACCTTTTTTATTATATATTTTTTCAATAGATATTATAGGTAAGAGCATCCATTTGATTTTTTAATTTTGTATAAAATATTAATTTGTTCTCTCAACTTTAAAAAACATATTTTTAGTTCTTTAATCTTAAAGTCATTAATCTTAAATAATATCTTTTGTGGCAATTATGATTATTTTAAAAATTAAAATTAATAGATTAGTATTTAAAAATATCTTATTGATATTCAAAATCTTAATATCATCAGGTTTTTTTTAACAATTTTAAAATTAAAAAATTAAAACATATAATCGAAACTTTATATAAATTTAAAGAACCACAATTATATTTTAACCAATATTTTATATCCAATAATACCAAGTCAGGTTTAAGCAATTGTTACATTACAAAGAGAAACAACTCTTCCAGGAGCACCTTTTATTTCTTTTATTAATATTTCTAAAAGATAGAGTTTATATTTTATATTTACTCCGACCGTTGGTGAGATATACTTTATTGCATGAAAACATATCTCTTAATGAAGATTGCAACATATTCAAACAAATGCAAATGAACTCTGTAAATAGAAAATTTCCACACAAAAAAAAAAGGGAATCTAAGCACCTTTTTTCCCTGAGTTGTAAATATAAATTACGTCGCAGTTAGAAGGAGGAAAATAATAATAATACTCACCAACGGTCATATTGTTACACAAAGGGGGAACAAGAGTAAACCTAAGCCTTGAGCTAAAAGAAGAGAGGAGATTCAAACACGGTTATAGGCCACTGACTTGCTGAAAAGCCGCCGGATGTATACAACTTGCAGTGCACTAACGAGAGCTAGAAGAAGGTACTCTCCTACAGTGTAGAATATGACGCGCTTCCTGGTGCTTTCATTCGCTGCATCATAGGTAAAATAGGAAGTTCAGTCATACAGTGTTCTTAAATATTTAACATTTTTTAATGACAATCAATGTAAGCACCACAAACACAAACGTTTCAATATCGGACTTGAGTCCATGACCTCAACTAAACACGGCAGCACACGCTGCCACTAGAGCAGCTTGCCATTGAATATTTAACATTTAAAAACCATCAAAACCAAAATTTTGGTAACCAAAGAATTCAGTGAGTTTTGACAGTATTATCCAAGCTGTCAAAGCTAGTTATCTAAAGCAGCAATATCAGGCAACTGATAAATCAATGCAGTAACTGGAACCCACACAGTACTCAACAGCTATCAATTGGAGAGATCTTACAAGATTTAAAAGGAACAAATTGCTTAAATAAACTCTAAAATGACGACATGAATTAGAGGCTTCTTTTGCTGCATATGGGTAGAGAATTTGAAGATTACTTCTGTTGGTTTTGTCTACAAGCCTCAACCCAGGTTGTGTGACGTTTGATATCACCAAAGCTACCTTTGACTTTGAGAGCATGTTACTAATTACTTAGGAGCCCACGCGCCTCTAGCCTTACCATATAGCACTATAGAACTTAAAAGGACTACCTATATAAACTTCTAATGCTACCACTTACCACCATTGTCAAGATGGGTCAAGCAACAAGGCTGATGTCTAGGAGCCATCACTATCATGAGATTGATGGATTGTATCAATGCATTTCAGATGGCAAGAAAAATGCTACAACTGCTGGGCAATAGCCAAACTTCTACATGAGCCAGTCACAGTTCATGAAAAAGAAAACCAACTTACTATGACGATGTCGTGCATCACGTGCTTTAAGGTATTTTTGCTCAGCTGTAACAGATTCTAGTGCCTCTCTGAGCTCAGCAATTTTAACATTTATTGGGTCCAAGTGCTCTGCAAATTTACCAACCAGAGTCAATAGGAAGCCCAAAAAAAAAAAAGGGAGGAAGAAACTCAACTAACATCAACCTTCACTAGGTCCAAAAAATAAATACATAAACATCAATCTTCACATACTTCAAGCAGTACCCCATATTAGTAGGAAAAATTCATTATATAGTTCATGCCATATGCACCTAAAGATGTCAATAAGATAGACTACAGTAATAAACGCTGCTTATGCAGAGAACATACCATTTTTAGCAAGATCATGCTCAGTGGGAATATGACCAACATGGATGTAGAAAGAAACAGTCTCAGGTGTGGAGTGAGGGTTATGAAAGCAGAATTTATACATTCCACTTCGTGGGGCTTTAAAATCAAACTTTTCGCCAGAGGTTCCTTTGATCGTGTGGACAATGTTACCTCCAGGAGATGTCACCTGCAGATCACTACAACATCAGGATAACTGAAAAGCACACCATATGTAGCAATAATAGGTTGTCATTCTAAATCCAACAATTTCTCCTGATCTACTATATAGCATTGTGAGCACACATCATTTTCTGAAAAACTTCTGTGCCGTGATTACCAAAAGGCATTAGCATGGTCTCAAAACCATACTCTACAGTGGATTGACGCTTAAAATGCACAGCACAGGAAAATAAATGTGAAGAAAACCCAAAGCCATCCATTCAAATATGAGCAATTCACATGAGATGTTAACAGCATATCCCTCCCTCGCCCCCCATCTATCATTACTTTCTACATTTTATTTTGCAGCTTGACGTTGCTCCAAGTCCTTCAGCATTTCTCATTTTTAAAAAATTTGGAGAACAAATAGTCCCAATTTAAAGTCAACAATAATACATTGAGAGAAAACCAATTTACAAATTTATTTCTCTTTTCTAAAGAATTGCTGAATAAAATTCATAATTATGCAAACATTAACAGAATTCTAATATATCTAAAAAATGAAATCTAGGAGAACATCAGCATATCAATATAATAAAAAGATATCCACAGTGAGACGTATTATTTACAAAGCATAAACAGTACAACTCATTCCCTATGCTCAGCAGTCAGTGCAATACACGGAAAAACATGTCTACTATCTAGTCAATGCTCCAAAACAACAGCGCATGATGAGGAAAAATTTAGCAAAAACAAATAATTAGAATTGGATATTGTTTAGAAATGAGTTGACAATAATTATAAACTCTTTAAAGCAAGCTCATATGAGCTCAATTTATTACTCGATTTATCAATCGGTAAACATCAACACTTTAAACCAGTGATCATAACATGATAAAATCTATTTAAAACAACCAATGATGACTTGGTCTGGGAAGTTTTTTCTTGCACTGGATGAGCTCACGATAAATTTCCCTCTTAAAAACATCCTGGTCTGGTGATCCTTTAGCGATTCAACAAGCATAAGTGATTTAACCCAGGAAAATCTGCCAAGTTCTTCTCTTGATTGTTTTTCATGCATCAAAATGAATTCACAATCACATTTTCTACTTCCAACCTAGCTCTGCCCATGTTTCATTACCAGTTCCAACTTCCAAGCCCAGATAAAAGAAGGGTTGTGTTAGACCTTCAATAACCCAAATGAAACTCTGTTGAATCCCCTGTGCCATGGATCAAAGATGTTATTGTGTTGTTTCTTTTCTACTTACAACCTCATTCTAAAAGTAGGAGGAACAGCCATAGATTCACTGATCACCATCTTAATTGAGACTGAAATATACGAACTTCATTTCATTAGAGATTTCCAATATCATCTGCAAATTTCCACTCATGACTTATGATGCAACCCAAACCATATTACCACGGCACATATGGGTTTCTACAGCTTAACAAACTCCCTACTGTTATTTTTGGCTGTTCTTTGCTCTTCAATTAACTAACTGCCACATATAAATAAAAAGATATCCACAGTGAGACGTATTATTTACAAAGCATCAACAGTACAACTCATTCCCTATGCTCAGCAGTCAGTGCAATACACGGAAAAACATGTCTACTATCTAGTCAATGCTCCAAAACAACAGCGCATGATGAGGAAAAATTTAGCAAAAACAAATATTAGAATTGGATATTGTTTAGAAATGAGTTGACAATAATTATAAACTCTTTAAAGCAAGCTCATATGAGCTCAATTTATTACTCGATTTATCAATCGGTAAACATCAACACTTTAAAACCAGTGATCATAACATGATAAAATCTATTTAAAACAACCAATGATGACTTGGTCTGGGAAGTTTTTTCTTGCACTGGATGAGCTCACGATAAATTTCCCTCTTAAAAACATCCTGGTCTGGTGATCCTTTAGCGATTCAACAAGCATAAGTGATTTAACCCAGGAAAATCTGCCAAGTTCTTCTCTTGATTGTTTTTCATGCATCAAAATGAATTCACAATCACATTTTCTACTTCCAACCTAGCTCTGCCCATGTTTCATTACCAGTTCCAACTTCCAAGCCCAGATAAAAGAGAAGGGTTGTGTTAGACCTTCAATAACCCAAATGAAACTCTGTTGAATCCCCTATGCCATGGATCAAAGATGTTATTGTGTTGTTTCTTTTCTA